TTTTTTTTTTTTTTTTTGTCCCTTTCAGAAATTAACCCTGCAGCATGTGAACAGTAATCAGTGCCTGGATAAAGCCACAGAAGAGGATAGCCAGGTGCCCAGCATTAGAGACTGCAATGGAAGCCGGTCCCAGCAGTGGCTTCTTCGAAATGTCACCCTTCCAGAAATATTTTGAGACCAAATTTACACAAAAAGAAAACATAAGGATTGACTGGGCTACCTCAGCATACATTTCTGCCACATTCTTAAGTAGCAAAAAAGGAAAAGTGCTTCCCTCCTGCAGGATGTGAGGTTTCTCAGCCATTAACACTTAGACTCCTCTGGCTTCTCACTAGCTGTGAACCAGCCTTCCTGTCCAAGGACGTGCAACTACAATGTAGCGAGACTGCACACTGATGTTTACAAGATTGAAAGAGACTTACTTTCGTCAGGAATCAATGTAAAGAATATTCCGACAATGAAACAACAAAATGTGCTTTCCGGAAAGCTGCACCTCTTAGGGTTGCTTGCACCTCAGTAATTTCTGCTGAACGTGCTGTCGTAACAAAGAGATTTCCAAGATTTCTTTTCTGATTAGAACTGGTAGCCAGTATATTAAATGTTGACATAAAGATATATGAAAAGAACTGGAACCAGATTCAGAATCATGAAAACATTTTTACAGCAATTAAAAAAGAAACTATATTAAACAGGGTTTAAAGGAAATTAAAACAGAACTATGAGAAGTACAATTTGTTATAGTATAGTATCAAATTTCTATATAGATTTTATACCTCAGTGGGGAAAAAGAACTGATTCCAGTGACATTCATTTTGTTTTCATCTGTGATAGTCATGGATGCTTTTTTTAATTTCTCCTTGGGGTGCTGAAATTGAGCTGGAAAAAAAATGGCTCTTTGAACGTAGTTTTAATTGCTTTCTACAATTTTTAAAATTTGGTTTGTGGGCTATTGGAATTGTAATTTTTAATTGCCTTCCAAAAATAGAGATTTAAAATAATGTCTGGTCTCACTGTACAAGTTAGATATCTCAGTTGCTCTTGGGTCAACTGGCTTATAGACTTTCACACACACAAATTTCTTATTAGATTTTCAACTTCTTAACTTGATTGAGCTGATTATGCTTAATACCCAAGATTCATACTACTGTACTACAGATTTGTTTTCACAGCAATAAATCTTCAGTTTTTTGTTTATGATTCCACTCAACAAAAAGCCTGCAGAAGTGATTTATTATTTGGGTATTTGGAGATAATACTTTTGATGGTTTTTTTTGAAAACTGTTTTCACTCCATACTCAGATGTGCTTCATTGTCAAGTGCATATTTAGATTAGGTTCTTGAATTGTAATGTTGATCTGCTGCTTTTTTAAAAAAATAAAATTTCACTGAAAATGTTTAATTGGCATTTTTTTAATGAGTTAGCCAAAGAAGTGCAGCTATTATTCCATATTAATCCTGCATTTCTCCCCTAAATTTAATTTAGGTTAGATTGGTTTTCTTTTTCTCTGATTTCTAATACTGCAAAATAACCTGAGTATCGATTAAAAGTTGAATATCAATTAAGTTTTAATCTCATAAAGAAAATCTTGTGATATTCTTCCTGATATGTAAAGCAGTCCATTGGCAAAAGTGCATATATTTTCCTTCCTATTTGTAAGATTATATTTAAATTGTACTCTTTTCTTTGATTATCAAGGACTCTCACTGCAGGCAGTGCTATTTCTTGTGCCTAAGAATGTTACTGAAAGTTGCATCACTAATGATACTTAGTAAAGTTTTCATATCCTTTCAAGTTAATCAATACCAAGCACACATGGATGCTTTTAGGGTGAGGCTATAGTACAAAATGCAGAAATTTGTCCCCAGGAAATTTGAAATGAAGCAGGTGCTGAATGGAATTTTTTTTTCCTACTCCATGAGCTATGTTAATTCTATCTTCAGTAGGCCTAATGCGTGAATAAACCAGATGTCTAATCAATAAATTATTTTCATGCTCAGAATTTCAGGTTTTTGTACTCCAGCGTAGGTTGGTCTTATTCCTTACTGTAAGAATGCTTAACAGCAATGTGATTTAAGGTTTTGGTTTTTTTGTTTGTCTTCTAAGAGGGGGATGTGAGTGATTTAATTCATGGATACTTCTAGAACCTGATAGATAATCCCATTGCCTTTATTTTTCTAATTAAAGAGTTCCTAAAATACTTTGAAAATATAAAATACTCCTTAATAGTTGTGCTTTACATTGGTGTTATTTGAAGTTAAAATGGGTTCATTATAGCCATTTGTAGATTAGGCAGTATGTTAATCACTCTGTTGCAAATCAAAGTGGGGAAAAAATGAATGAATGAAAAAGAAAGCAAATGATGAAAAGACTGTTATTTGACCAGTGAAGAATTCATAAATGTGACAGTTAAGGATAATTTGAATCCCACAGATCTATCCACCTCACTCCAACCCCAATCCATTTTAGGATGTCTTAACTGTTCTAATTGGCGTTTGAAAAAAAGTTCTTTGTTCACCATTCTGCAAATAACGCAGTATGTAGGCCATGTCCTCATTTTCCTGTTCTACATTCAGCTGAAAAACAGAGGTTCCTTTGTAAAAATTTCATGCACTTTGCATCTCCCAAGAAGTACACCAACAGCAAATTTAACTCCAGAATTACATGTTCTTCAAAGAAGAAAATCAGAAGGTAGTGTTTCTGAGGTGATAACTATGAGAGGAAGTATACAAAAAGTGAATCACTTTTTACTCTGGAAAATTAGATGTGTTTCTAATTACATGATACTGTTCCCATTCCCTGATTTCTTGAAAATTACCAAGTGTTTGCTTGATAAATCTATCAAAACTAATAATTTTACAGGATATGAGGCAAAACTCAAATTGTCTATAAACTAGCAAAAACAATTAAATTTTAAATATGATTTATAATAGCATCAAATAAGTCAAATACCTTGAAAGAAATTTAACAAAAGATGTGCAAGACTTCTCCCCTGAAAACTACGAAATGTTGCTGAGAGAAACTACATAGAACACTGCAATAACTATATTATGTTCATGGATTGAAAGACTGCATAATGTTAAGATCTCAGGTTTGCACAAATTAAATGACATTCAATAAAATCAAAATCTATGAGGCTGTGTTGTATAAATTTGCAAATATATATGGAAAAGCAACAGGCCCAGAATAGTCAAGATAATTTTGAAGAAGGGGAAAGTTGGAAGACTTACACTAAATTGCATGACTTGCTTTAAAGCTATAGTAATCAAGAGAGTGTGGTACTAGAGTTAGGACAAACAAATAGATCAATGGGTAGAGCACAGTCCAGAAGAAGATCCACACAGACACAGAGGGTGCCAAAAAAAAAAATGTATATACATTTTAAGAAAGGAAAAAAAAGCTGTAATATTCAATATACTTGTATACTGATAAGATGAATACAAGTCACGTTTAACTTCTGCAATTACAAGAGGTGCACAAAGTGATTACCATCAGCATCCAGACACTTCTGATTACAATGAACTGGTTGAACATAGATAATATCTCTTAAAATGTGGATACATTTTTTTTGGCACCTTTGGTATATTGTCATTGGCTTTTCAAAACAAATACCAAGCAATTCAATAGGAAAAGGAAAGTTTTTCAGTTGGCACTAGAGTAACTGGATATCTGTATGAGGAAAAAACTGAACATTGATGCATTCACACAATGTACAATTTATTCAAAATGGATCACAAACCTAAATGTGGAGGGCAAAACAATAAATCTAGAAGGAAGCAATAGCTTCATGACTTGGGCTAGGCAAAGATATCTTCAGGAAACAAAAGACATTAACCATAAAATTTAAAAAAAAACAAATTTCACTAACAAACCCTTCTCATCAAAAACATACTGTTAAAGTGAAAAGGCAAGACAGCCAAGGACATAAATATTTGCAATACATGTAACTGACAGACTCATGCAGAAAAACAAAACTTAAAAGCCATTGCAAAAGCCACACAATATAAAAACTTGAATACACACTTCACAGAAGCTATTCGAATATACAACTGGTGTAGGAAAAAGTATCAACGCCAGTCATCAAGAAATGCTAAAGGACCAGCAGTGTGGAGCGCTGGTTAAGTGTTGGCTTGGGATGCCGGATCTGAGCAGCAGGGCCGTGATTTGGATCCCACATGAGGGGCAGTGACGCTGTGCCCTCTACAGTTAAGATGGTGACCAACAGCTCAACCTGGAGCTGGGCTGCCGGGTGTTGCCGGCGATGGCATAGGCTGCAGCAGGCTGCCATGAGCAGCCATGAGTGGCCAGTGAGTGCCTGTCAGCCGGGAAGAGTGTAATGATGGTACCAACATGGGCCAGTGAAGCAACATCATCCACAACTAGACTGAAGAACAAAAGAACAGCAACTTGTCTGTCCCCTTCCCCCAATTTCCCAATAAAATCTTTACAAAAAAAAGAAAAAATGCTGAATGAAACCAAAAGGAAATCATTGCATACCTGCCAAATGGTGAGAATTGGGAGCAACTTGCAGACGTGTACATTGGTGTAATCACCTTGGGGAAGAGCTTGTCAGCTGCTTATAAAGGTAATTATATGCCTACCCTGTGCCTCAGTGACTCCACTTCTAGAGATACAACCAAGACAAATGAGTGCATATGACCACAGTGAGGTTTTTACAAGAATATTCATAGCAAGCAACTTTATAATACCCCCAAACTGGAAACAACTCAAATATCCACCAAGCCATGGATAATCAAAGAATGGTATATTTAAACATTGGAATACTAGTCTACAATTTTAAAAAATGAATTCGTAATACAAGAGGGATAAGTCTAAAAAATTGAACAAGGAAAGCTAGACATATCAAGCTCAAAAGCAGGCAAAACATATCTAGGGGTGATTACCTCTGGATGAATATAGACGAAACGGGCATGAGAACATTCTGGAATGATAGACGTATTCTATAAGTTGCTTTAGATAATGGTGACATGCATATATATTTTAAAATGTATTGAGCAGTATACTTAGGACATATGCTTTTTATTGTATGTAAATTACACCTCAATAAAATGCTGGGGGGAAATGAAGATACATAGTTACCCTTTTGGCATCAAGGTTTTCTAAAAAGTTCTCCACTGCTACAAAAGACCTGAAAGCTGAATAAACTGCAACAAACATACTTCAAAGTGGGATGCTGAGCTCACAAAAAAAAATACGGAAAATCTCTAAAGTTTAGGAAAAAACGGGGGAAAGGAATATATAAACTTAAGCCACAGAAGTAACTATTAAATATGAAAGCCCTTCCTCTCCTACGAATAAAATATAATCAGAGTTTGGGGAATGTGAACGTAGACCTTGAACCTGAACAAAGTTGGAGACTCAAAGACCCCTGCATAAATGTGGGATAGTCAGAGGAGTTCCACCTACCAGGAGAAGGGTGGGTAAGGAAGTCTGCCACCTTTTAAAGGAAACAAAGGAGTACTCTGACCAACTCAGCCCCCTTTCCAGGTAGTCAATTGTGATGAGGTGATGCCACCCTGTAACCATAAGGCCTGATTTTACCATAGGTTAAGGGTTTGAAACCACAGTCATGAAGTCTTCAGATCAAGAAAAAGTGAGTCTAGATTTATGACCTTACTGGAAATCATTAGAATACATGCCCTTTTGAGAGGGGAAAAAAAAAAAATCAAGTCCCTATGCTCCCATATATTAAACTACAAAATCATTATCAGAAACAGGAAATGAGCCCCCCTCCCCATGTCAATGTTAACAAAAAAGTTCTGGCAAAGTGAGAATAGCTTGTGTCAGACTAAACCTCCTGCCAATAAGTTAATAACCCTGAAAAACATTTTTTTAAAGAATATTTGAGGGCCTGGAGAGAGAATAAAAGTCAGAAAATATAGGGGATTTGACCCTTGTTAAAAAGAAACTTCACTGGGTAAGATGACATATATATAGCTTTTCCCCAGAGAGCATCCCCAATGCACAGAGCACAATAGAAGTAGTGTCTCTGGTGGAGGAGTCAGAGATCTTATTAAGGAGCAAACAGTGGTTAGAAATTGAAGAAGGAAGTCTCAAACAGGAGGGAATCACAGAGGAGATCCCAAATCTGCATACAAAACTTGCCTCAAATCCTTGGCTGACTTCACTGTGCAGAGAATGAGACTCCAAGAAGCCCAGGGGAAAAAAATGGGAAGGAAGAAAGATCCAAGCAGAGATCTTAGCAGTTGCCCGACACTAAGAATACAGTTTTGAGTTTGCATTCTTTTGAGTTTACAAATCTGGAGGGGCTTGATAAAACATTTTAGACTATGTTGAAACTCAAGAAGGGACAAGTGTGAGAATAAAGACCGTTCGTAAGGATTTAGGACTATTCCTAGGGACAAGGACAAAATGAAAAA